TTCTTCTTCTTCTTCTTCTTCTTCTTCTTCTTCTTCTTCTTCTTCTTCTTCTTTTTCTTCTTCTTCTTCAGCAGGTAACCGGGAGCCGATGATGACTAAAACATTTACATTTGTTAAATCTCCAAGACCCCTCCTGTGATCCAACGGGAAAATAACCAACTCGAGTCCCCCGCGCTCATAATAATGACTTTATGTGGTTGCGAGAGCCGTTAAACTCCAGTGACCAAACTGAATGAAATTGAAGACCAATAAATGGAGACCAAAACAATTTAACTCACCCATTGTGAAGCCAAAGAAGGCGGCGTAGACGGCGTGCAGCGCGTAGCTGGATCCACAAAAGGCGCTCAGACAGGTACCCGTCCCACACAGGGAAAGGTTTACGGCGTCAAGAACCACACAGTCTATCCACGGCACGTCGGCCAACGCCGCGATGATGAACCGGCCAAACACATTCCCCACTCCGTTGATGGAGAGAAGCATGGCGGCCGAGGTTTTGTCTATACCGTGATACACCGCGCGGTCTACCATGTAGAGGACGGGCATGAAGAAAGACAGACTGGTTAGACCGTTGCTTAGAGCTAAGAATTGGAACGTAGGGTCTCGGAGTAGAGAGAAGAACTTAATCCACCCACGAAGTATAATCATAAAGCGTCCACGCCAGCCGATTTTCAGGGAATCCTGCGACATTTTCAGGCTTCCCTTAGAGCAAGCGAGTTTGTTGTCTGCTGCTTCAGGGTCGTCGCCCCCCTCCACGAGAGGGTGGCTCTCTTCTGCTGGTATCAAGCGGGTTCTCTCCTCTTCCAAGTCGGCTCGCCGCTTCTCGTCTTTGCCGATGAGGTACAAGCTGTGGACGCTACCAGCCAATAGCCAGTCCGCGTCCCTGAATATTTTGGGGATCCCTGAACTGGCGGATCGGGGAACGCCCAGGCGGGGTTTGTTCGCGTGATTGGGGGTTTTCCCCAGCTCTGCCTGACTGGAGAATTGGCGCGCAGTGTCCTGAGACATGCTGGATTTGGCGGGAATATGCCGCATGCTGCCACCTAGCGGGGCTCCGTCTCTGTGTTCAGGGAATGACTTAAGTAGTCTTGAAAGCAGCGCGTTATTATGTCCCTGCTGTCGCTTCTCGGGGTAGGGAGAGGGTGAACTGTACTCGGGTGAGTTTTCTGCGCCGCATGTCGTATCTACGACCTTAATGATCACCGGGCAATGTTCTCGCGACGCTGTAAGGTCTTTGATGGAGGAACTTTCTTTATCACCTCCATCACCACCATCTTGATAATCCGCAGTCTTCACAGTATCGCTGTATTTCACACAAGATGTATCACTCTGCTTCTCGACAGCATCATCCCCTACAAGCGCTTGTCTTTCCTCTTCGGACATCTCGTTTTCATTGATGATGACGTCAATACTTATCGCCTTTGCTATTTTTGGCGGCGGTATCAGTCGGATGAGCATCCCACAGACGCTGAAGTTGAGCAGGATCCCGCCCATGATGAGTACCGTGCCTCGCCACCCGTACTCAAACTCCAGCCAGTTGATGAACGGAGAGAGTACAAAGCCTCCGATACCGACTCCGGCTGTGGCGATACCGTAAGCCACAGCGCGGCGTTTACTGAAGTACTCGGCCACCATTGTCACTGCCGGCAGGTAGATAAAGCCGAATCCGACACCTGGGTATGGAAGACAATATTGTACAATGAATTAGATCTATCTATCTATCTATCTATCTATCTATCTATCTATCTATCTATCTATCTATCTATCTATCCATCTATCTATCTATCTATCTATCTATCTATCTATCTATCTATCTGTCTGTCTGTCTGTCCCTCTGTCTATCATAAAGAATACCCTCTTCATTTTCCTATCTATCTTCCCATCTCTCAACAGTACATTTTACGCCTATTCGGTAACCCTCCTCCGTTCTCCATTGCCTTCATTGTTTATTCATTCCACGATGCATTCATCCCTTCACAATCCTTTAACTGATGCTTTTCAGATCTTTGTAATGGTGATCTCGACACCTTCATTCACCTACTTTTTCCAGTATTCTTTCTATCCTTCAGCCTGTGCATCCACCAATCCTTCGTCATTTCATTCATCGCTTCACTCATTTATCCATCCACCCAGATATTGTTTAGTTCATTAATGCCTTCATCAATTCTTCATTCCATATATCCATCTCCTCAACCCTGCCCCCGTTCCTCCCATCTGTCCATCTACCCATCCCTCCAACAATCTCCCTACCCAGACTCAGAGTACCTGCGTCTGTGGTGTTGTAGTTAGGCCCTTCGATGTCGCACAAAGAAGACTCGACTCACTTCCCGAGCTTGCTGTTGAGCTCGAATTTGCGCTATACAAACGCTAATTTATATATAT